ACACATACCCTTCCAACCTTGCAACTTCTTCCAAAGCTTCTCCTTGATGCCTCTAGTCAACACTTTCTTTGATTGACCCACAACCGTCGGCAACCCCAAGTAGCGATCATGAATATTTACAATTTGAACACCAAGAGTCGAGGCAACTTCTTGTTTTTTGCTCTCATCAATACCACTACCAAAAGAAACAGTGGTTTTGTCAAAATTGACTTTTTGACCCGACACCCGTTCATAGACATGGAGAGTATTTTTAATTGCTTCAGCTTCCTCCCTATTTGCCTTAGCAAAAATCACACAATCATCGGCGAACACAAGGTGGGAGATATCCGGGGGCCCAGTTGAGATTTTTAGGCAGTGAATTGCACCATTTTCCATAGACTTACGCAACAAACCCGAGAGAGCCTCCGCTACCAAAATAAACAAGTATGGTGAGATAGGATCTCCTTTTCGAATACCTCGCAAAGGCACAAATTCATCACTCGGCTCACCATTAATCAAAACAGAGAAATTCACAGTACGCACACACCCCATAACTCTACCAATCCATGAAGCAGCAAAATTCATCTTAATCAACACGGCTTCTAAAAAATCTCATTCCACCCTATCAAAAGCTTTTGCCATATCCAATTTAAGGGCTAAATGCCCTTTTTTTGCTTTAGACAACTACATATGGTGAAACATCTCAAAGGCCACAAGAACATTGTCAGTGATAAATCTACCCGGAGTGAAGGCACTTTGATATACAGAGATGATTTCATTAAGGAAAACTTTAAGTCTATTAGCCAACACCTTCGACACAAGCTTATAAATCACATTGCAAAGACTAATGGGGTGAAAATTTTATTTTAGCAAAAATGATTTCTGCTCAGCAAAATTAATGTATTGTATAATTTCAGTTTAGTAAAATTAATTTCACTTTAGTAAAATTAATTTAAGTTTAGCAAAAATAATTTCTGTTTAATAAAAAATAATTTCTATTCAGCAAAAATAATTCCAGTTTAGGAAAAATAAGGTATTGTATAATTTTAGTTCAGTAAAAACAATTTTAGTTCAGCAAAAATAATATCTGTTAAATAAAAATAATTTAAGTTCAGCAAAAATAATATCTGTTAAATAAAAATAATTTAAGTTCAGCAAAAAATAATTTCAGTTCAGTAAAAACAATTTCATTAGATAAAAAATAAGGTATTGTATATATTTTTTTTCTTCGACGAAATGTAATGTATGATTATAGAAAAAAAGATTAAAAAAGTAAAAAATAATTTCAGTTCAGTAAAAACAATTTCATTTGATAAAAAATAAGGTATTGTATATTATTTTTTCTTCTACGAAATATAATATATGATTATAGAAAAAAACAAAGATTAAAAAGGTAGAAAGTTTCTTGGAATTGTTCGAAACCTGTCTAATATGGCCTGGGTTGGGATCAATTATATCCATTCAATTTGAATTTGTTCCTAACATCATCAATCTGATCTAACTTTTGTACAGTGATTTATTATATATCTCGTATTATCGTGTATGGATTAGTAGATTACTATCGTAACATTAGTGTATCCAGGTTTTGAGTTTAAATTTTGTAGGGTTCGTTTGGTATTATTGTGGTGTTTTTTTTTTTTTTTAAGTATATGATATATACCCCATAATGAATCAAAAATGATTTAAACTTATTAAAATCATGATTATTTTGAAAACCGACAACAGATTAGTGGAAACATAGAAAACTGAAAACCAAAAATGATGTCAAACAAGCCCTAAGCTTTTGGTTTGATTTAGGATTAATAAACAAGAACAACCCTTGGTTCTTTGCTAAGTGCTTAACTAGATTACCCTTAAAAAAAATGTAAAGCAATAGAAATCTTTAGGGTTGCATGACTTTAGGGGATGAATCTTGCCCGTAATCTGGTCCCAATACAAAGACAAGAGTACTAGGTATGCAAGTATATTTAGTCAATAAATTCCCTATTTAAAAAGTGATCGTACCATAAATAGCTAACTTTTTGGTTGCATCTGTTTTTTCTTAATAAAAAATGCCACTAAATTCTTCATTATTTTTTGAACAGACTTTAATTTTTGTAGATGTTAAATAAGTACTCCGTAGGAACATTATATTGTTTAACTTATTTTTACTTTTTTTTTTTTTGGAAAGATACCTTATTTTTACTTTACGACTCTTTAGACACTAAAATGCTAAAAACAACCTGATTTATATCTAATTTTAAATAACACTTATTACAATCGAAATTCTATACCATTTACCCAACTTACCATTAAATTTCTCTTAAAAAATCATAGAGTGAAATTTCCCATAATTTATCTTAAAATATTTCTTCTAACTTTATTTTTCTAGAACCTATATACTCCGTACTTTTTTAATACTCAATTTATTTCCATAACAGTTACAAATCATCACATGAGAGTCAGAGAGATTTGGAAAGAGAGATTTGGAAGTGCAAATTAAGGAAAAAAAAAAAAAAGTGCAATTCACTAATCTTAAACAGGTTCATTGAACCAAGACAATAAAATCATAAACAGGTAATTTCTTCCATCTCTTCTGTTACACAACCTTTTCTCCATCATTTTTTTCTCTTGCATTAAAAAAACTGAACACGGGTTTACATTTTACAATGCCAAATCTCAAAACCAATCCTCTTTAATCCTTTTCCTTCCATTCCCATCTTCAGATTAAAACACGTGATCTAAATAAAAAGACCAAAACCACCCTACTCCCCCGAGTCACGCGATCACAACCGTCCATCTACAAATTGAACCATCTAGTCCATCCAAAGGATCCGATTTATTACAATGTACTATAATTATAATTTTATTTTATTTTTTTTTTTTATTTTTTTATTTTTTTTTTTTTGCATATAAAAATTTGGGTTTTTTTAATTTAACCAAATAATAATAATAATTTCTGTTCCCCTTACATTTCCAGACTTACAGGTGCCGTCAAGTGTGCTCACATTTGGAGGTACAAAAAAAGGTACCATTTTTTTTTTAATTTTTAAAAAAATATTTAAGAATCATAAGTTATTTTTATAATTAATTTAATTTATTTTGGGAAGAAGAGAACTTTTTAGAGGTCATGGAAAAGATCAAATGAGCCCCCACTATTAATGGTTTGAATGAAAAGCATATAATATGAATCATGTAATGCAGGTGTGCTTGTCACTTTCCTTAAATTTATTTTACAAAATTTGCACTTTTCTTTATTCTCCATCAAACTAGCTTCTTACTGGAGTAACTACCCCCCATTTGTAGCTAAGAACTTATGCTAATTTTGGCTAATTAAATTTTAACCTTTTGCTTACAATTCCTACTTTAGGCTGTTGATTTGATTGTTACTTAACACCGTAGTGTTGTCTACTTGTCTTTATTGTTGTGTCTAGGTAGATTCTTGTATGAGACGGGTGTAGACAATAATATGACTTCGGTAACCTTGGTTATGTTCTTGAGTTGCCCTTTTTAAGTGCAAAGTCGTAAAGGTCATTCGTAAAAATTACCCGTCTTATGTAAAACAGTAAAAGTCATATTAATCTCATTCCATTAGCTAGAAACTTGTTTAGGTGATTAATTGTGTATGATAATGATGTTTTTAGTATCTTACCTTACTCATGCAATTGCATTTACCTAATACTAGAACTTTACCAAGAGTTCCATTATCAACCAATAACATATACCACATTAATTAATTGCAATTTTAGAAGGAAATCTTATGTCATTGATTCATTTTCAACCAATAACTTGTACCACATTAATTAATTGCAATTTATTATGAAGGAAATCTTATGTCATTGTCTATGATAATGTTAGTCGATCTTTCTCCATTTTCTCATTTTCTTCGTTACTACTCGGGAGATGGTATCTGACTTCATAAATTCGTTATCATGGTAATTAATTAATATAGGTTGTACTTATTACTTATTTACTGTTTTACACACAAATTCATTACTATTTACACAATTTATGACCGCTTACCTAAGTGGCTATCAAAATATCGCCACAAACTTGTACCACATTAATCATATGAGATGTCACCACATACATCGAGAGTGAGGGATAGCTCAAGTGGTTAGAGCTCACCTCCCGATATTAAGACATTTTGGGTTTGATTTTCATCACCCGCCCTTGTGCCTCTCTAAACACCCTAAAAAAAACAATATAAAATATACACGGGAATCGATCATTTGACAACTCCAACCCACGGGGTTGGTGCAACATGATTTGCCACAATAAGGTCATTGTAAAAACAACAGTAGAAACTTAACACAAATAATCATGTAATGTTTGGTTATAGTTTTACAGCAAATTTTGTCTCAGTAATTGCATATGTCATTACAGATGGCGTTTGTGGGGAGCAGAAACCTCCTTTTATGGGGAAGGCTGTATCTGAAACATGTATTGACTTAAAATTTATTAAAGTTTGATATGCTTCAATGAATTCAAACTTGTTAACTCAACTAATCTGATTGTTAGTTTGATACAATGACAACCCTACAATGTGGGTCAAGTCAACTATCCCAAAAAAAAAAAAGTTTTAGACACATCAAAATGTATCAATGTACATACACACTCGAAGGCTTGTAGTTCAGCTGATTAGTAGAAAGATTATTGTTTCCGATAATTGTATATCTTTTCGTATATGATTTGAAAACATCTTAGTGATCGAAACTGTTTCCTCGAGTTATTCTGTTATAACAAGTACTGTTAAGATAGGGGATGAAGCACCCCAACAACTTCACCTACATGTTTAGGTCAACACCACCCCTTCTTGATCTAGAATGAGCTTAAATGCTAAGCAATAGAGAATATGTTAACCAATGACAGTAATGTCCGGTTCTTGCTAAATAAGAAAGTGTGTACAATCAATTATTAAGTTCGGAATTTTGATCCTCCTACCGCGGTCTAATTAGTCTAATAGTATTTTTTTTTTCAATGCTACATTTTTCTGATCCACCCATTTTTTTTAATTTTGAAAATTCTTCAAGCCAAAATGTAGACTTTTGACTAGTTATTCTTTGACAGAACTTATAAAGCTCTGAGACCCTCTTGATTTTTTGCAATTTGTAGCATACTCCAATCAATCACTTTCTTCAGCTTAGCTCAATTTCTTTGTTTTCTACTTCTTCTTGTACCTGTTTGCTTTCTTTTTCTCTCTTTTGCATACTTTTCATACTAATATTCTTAAGCAACTGATCTTTCACTATGAATGTTACATGTTACAGGCTTAAATTGCATTAGCACCACCCCTTTTTAGTTGTTCTCCCAAACACTTCAATGGCCAATCTTCCAACAAATGGAGAGGCCGATACCAAAGAGATCGATATGGCTAGCCTGCCATCCTCTAAGCGTCATAGCCAAAACCCAGACTTAGATCACCACAAAGTTGGTGTTCCATCTAAGCAGAACTTGTTTAAGGAGTTCACTTACACCGTGAAAGAAACATTCTTTGCTGATGACCCTTTACGACATTTCAAAGATCAGTCCAAGTCTCGGAAGTTCATTCTTGGTCTTCATGCTGTCTTCCCTATACTTGACTGGGGCCGAGGTTATAATCTCAAGAAGTTTCGAGGTGACCTCATTTCCGGCCTCACTATTGCCAGTCTCTGCATCCCTCAGGTATTCAAAAATATTCATTTTTTGTACCTCATTGTTTAGAAATGTTATCCAAGTGTCGTTTTGCATGTGTCACAATAATCTTGATTCCGGTGTGTGTAACAGGATATTGGATATTCCAAACTTGCAAACCTCGACCCTGAGTATGGACTATGTACGCTCTACTACTACTACGACTATTATAACTACTATAGTTATTGTTTAGGACTGTAATTAGTATCATAACATGTGAAATTTATTTATTACTTGTGTTTGGGTCCAATTTAGTCCAATTGGGCCTGGTCACTGAATGATCCAATTAAAAGCCCAAGGTTAAGGTTCAACTCTCCAAATGTGCTAAAGTCAAAAATCAACATCCTCAAAGCCATGTCAAGGTCAGTCAACGGCCCAATCAGCTTGGCCCAGCCCAACTGACTTCCGGGCCCAATCCGCCTCCTTCATTAGCCAAGGTATAAAAGCCAACAATTTGGTCAATTCTTGGTAAGACAATAAAGCCTCAAGCAACTAAACTCTTGCACAGCTTTCTCTCTCTAATATACTGACTTAAGCATCGGAGGGGCCTTCCTCGGCGTCCCCCCCGAGGCTAGTTTACGTGTATTTGTTGTGCAGGAAACCCTCGGCTCCTGCGTCGTTCGGACCGAGACCAAGTTCCCTCAAGATAAAAGGATCTTCCGAGATTCGATTGTTTTCATCCGAAACAATTTGGCGCCGTCTGTGGGGAACGCTACTAAATTTCGCGTCAGTCATCAAACACTCCGGCAGTCGCCATGACTAAGAGTGGAAAGAGTTCCAAGAAGGCTAAGAAGGGAGGAGGCCGGATTACGGTGAGGGAACGCCAGCCGGTTTATCCCTCCCCGGAGCAAGCCTCTTCCGAATCGGAGGCCCCCATTTCTCCGGAAAGGGAAGCCTCAAGAGGTCCTAGCCTCCAGGAGGAGAACACCTCGCACCACACTCGGCAGCCGGGGCCATCCCCGAGACCGAGTGGCTCAGGTGCGAGGAACTCCCCGCCGCGCCATAGCGTGCAATCCAGGTCACATCCGCGGGAGACTCCTCCCTCCGGACCCTCCACCGAGGAAGTGGCCAGAGCAGTGGCCATCTGCATGGAGTTCCTTAAAGCTCAAGGGGCTCCAATCCAGATGCCTGATGATCACCAGCCGAGAAACCTGAAAAGGAGGATCGGTCAGGATGATGGTGGACAAGTTCCACCACATAGAGAGCTCGGCCAGAGGTGGCGAGGGGACACCCGAAACTCCAGTAAGGAGAGGAGGAGGAACCCTCAACCCTCTGACCACTCTGAAGCTCAGAATTCCATGGGGCCCTCCAAGGACCCGGAATTCGCCCGCCAAAGCGTTCACGAACGCTTGGGTTCGAGGGAGGTGAGTGTGCATAGCCGCCTCACCTTCCCAGAGGATACCGGACCCCACCCAACCTTGTCTCAGCCGGGGACGAAAACCACTTCCACCTCTGAGAGAGGAGGGAGCGAGGTCCCTGAGGCCGGGTACAAGGGGAAGGCGGTCATGGTTCCATCGAACTCGCCCTTCCAGAAGTGGATTCTGGAAGAGCATGTGCCAACGGTCAAAATCCCGGCACATATTACTTACGATGGTACCTCAGATCCTAAGGATCACATTGCCTCTTACGAGGGGCACATGTATCTGAACCCGAGGTCTGAGGCTACCTGGTGTAAATACTTTCCTACGACCCTCAAAGGTGTTGCCCAATCCTGGATCACCAAAGGGCTCAAGGAAGGCTCCATAACCGGTTGGAACGACCTCTCCAACAAGTTCAAGAGCAAATTCTCTACGGCCAACCGCCGAGAGAAGACCACTGCAGAGCTAATGAGTCTGCAGCAGGCGGAGGACGAGAGCCTCCGCGACTATCTGACTCGCTTCAGCAACGAGTCATCCGGAATCACAAGCCTGGATCAAGGCCTGGCCGTGTTCGCGCTACGGAACGGCCTCCAAGCTGGAAAGTTCCTGGACTTCATGGTCATGCATCCCCCGCAGACCCTGGAGGAAGCCTTGGAAGCATCGGATAGGTTCATCCGAGCCGAGGAGTGGAACAGATCCAGGTCTCAGTCTCGTCCGAGAATTGAGAAGCCGAAAGGGCAGCAGCCCGAAGTCTCGGCGCAGAGGAAAGGGAAGGCTAAGGCCTCAGAACCGTCCTCTGCTGCCGAGCCGAAGAAGGAAAGACACTTTCCCTACACGGGAAGGTACGATTCATACACTCCACTCTCCCTTCCCCGTGCTAAGATTTTCAGCACGACGAAGGACGAGGGGAGATTCAAAAAACCTCGTCCGTTGCCTCCCTGGCATCAGACGAGGGGAAAGGACCAGTGGTGCGAGTTCCATGACTCACCCGGACATCGCACCGAGGACTGCGTCCAGCTGAAGGACCAGATTGAGGATCTGGTCCGCAAGGAGAACCTTAGCCCACAAAGCTCTCAGGGCAGGGTATTTTTGGCCTACAATGATCTCGGATGCAAAGAACATGGTCAGAAAATGCGAGAAATGCCAAAAATTTGCACCGGTAATCCATCGGCCATGCCTAGATCTCCAGCCAATTCTTAATCCTCTTCCATTTGCACAATGGGGGTTGGATATTCTGGGACCCTTTCCCGAGGCCCCATACAAAAGAAAGTGGCTGATAGTCGGAATCGACTATTTCAGCAAATGGATTGAAGCGGAAGCTGCTTCAAGCATATCTGAGCAAACTGTCAGACAGTTCATCTGGCAGAACATAATAACTCGGTTCGGCATCCCAAAAGTTTTTGTGTTCGACCACGGCAGACAGTTTGACAACCTGCCCTTGCGCCGATACACTGATCAATTCGGGATAAAATTGGCTTACTCCGCGGTTTGCCACCCTCAGAGTAATGGCCAAGCCGAAGCCGCAAATAAACAGATCCTTAACGCTCTCAGAAAAAGAGTAGAGGATCAAAAGTCCAAGTGGGTAGAGGAACTTCCGGGAACCCTCTGGTCACTCCGGACAACCGAGAAGGAGGCAACGGGGCATTCACCTTTTCAGCTGGTGTATGGATCCGAAGCAGTGCTTCCAGTGGAAGTGGGCTCAGAAAGCCTACGAGTGAATCTCTTCTCAGCCGAGGAAAATGAGCAGCTCATGAAAGAGTCCCTCGACTTCCTTGACGAGATTAGAGATCTAGCCCGAGAAAGGATGGCTGCACACAAGCTCAGAATGAGCAAGTCCTACAACCGAAGAGTCTATCAACGACCTCTCAGAGTTGGGGATTTAGTTTTGAGGAATGCTGCAGCTGTTCAAAAAAGTCGCATTCATGGCAAACTCTCAGCATCTTGGGAGGGACCTTATGAAATTTATCAAGAGCTTCAGCCCGGTACCTTCAGACTCAAACAAATGGATGGCACCGAGCTGAAAAACCATTGGAATGCCGGTGTGCTCAAAAAATACTATGTGTAAATCCTTCGGATAGTACAATCTATGTAAGTACACTGATTTTGTTTATAAAAAGTCCATCGAGCCAGTATTCATTCAGATTGCGTGTATTCTTTAAGTCTTTATGCTTTCTACGGTTTTTCAAAAATTCAAGGTTTCATTCGGCGCTGTCCGGGGTATTGCATAATGATGCCTTGTACCTCGGCAAGCCGTAAAACCTGCCAAAAAAAGATACAAGCCCGAAGTATTGCATAGTGATGCCTTGTACTTCGGAGAATCTGTTCCTTTGGGCAAAAAGGCCATAGACTTATCCGAAACATAGCCTAAAAAATAGGAACTGATAAAGCCCCGAAGTATTGCATAGTGATGCCTTGTACTTCGGATGAATCAGTTCCGGGTGGTAGTTGCAACTCTGAAGTATTGCATGATGATGCCTCGTACTTCAGATAAACTGCTGCCCCGGCATGGTGTTTCGGATAGTTGTTCCCTTGGATGAATTGAAGAAAGTGTCACAAGAGTACCATCTCTAGAGTGAAAACTCTCAGGTGGGAAATCAGTACTTTAAAAACAGATGTAGAAAATAAAGCAAAGTGTTCAAAGATCCTCGGCTTAGCCGAGAAAAATTATCAGCCATTCCAGAATTCAGAAGACCTCATCTTCAGATTTCTGGGGGGGCAGAGGGAAATAGAGAAATGGCACAACTGATCTAATACCCTTCAGCTCAGCCGAAGTTTGATACTTATGTCAGTTTTTTCACAAGTTGAAAACATCCGAGTACAAACGGCAAAAAGAAGTCTCAGCAGAAATGATTCTCGCTAGCCGAAGTTCTGCACTTAGCAAATATTTGAAAGATCATTCAAAGAAAGCAGTAAAGTGCGAAGACTGGTAAAGCGAAGAAGAAAAAAAAAAAATACACAAGAAAGCTGAGAAAGTGAACTTCTTTGAAATAAAAATGTTGAATTACAAAAATAGTCGGCAGCCGCCCACAAGCGGAAAGTAACAGCTGCCGAAATACGTACAGGCAAAATAAAAATATAATAAGCTGTTGTACGATAAGGCAAGCTGAAGCAAAAAAAAACAAAAGGCAAAAATTCAGAAAGCGGCAGGTCTAAAGTTGAGCGCATGATGAACCGCAAGATTCTGAAGACGACTGCCCGAGTTCCTATGCTTCAGCCTGAGGATCAGACTGATCAGCTTCATTGGGCCCAATGGTGGTCTCAGCTCCAGCAGCAGAAGAAGCAGGCTTTGCACTTTGCCGAGCCTCCCTTTCCCTCTGCTCAGCCTCCAACTCCATCCTCTCAGCTTCTTCCTCGGCTTCCTCAGCCTTAAGGATTTCAGCTTCGATTGGAGTGGCATACTTCATGTGAGGGTCTTCGGGATCTTGGACCCATTCAGCACATTTGGACCAGTCCAGCTTCGGCTCAGCATGAAGGCAGACCCTTCGGCACACTCTGAACCCGTTTCTAAAACCCATTTCATACTCTTCTTGGGTATAGATACGGACTTTGAGTAGAGCCTCAGCATCGGCCAACTTCTTCTTCGTCTCCTCCAAGTCTTCCTCGGATCTCTTCAGCTCATCGACGAGCTTGGAGGAGGAGCCTTTCAGCTCGGTAAACTCTTGCTGAACCTGGGAAGCCTCGGCCAGAACTTGGACCATTTCTTCCTTCTTGGCAGTGAGCTGATCCTCAGCCTCTTGTAGCTTAGCTCTTTGAGCTTCAGCAGCAGCAGCAGCCCTTGAGAGTTGGACATCCCTAGCTTGGAGCATCTCTTCAGCAGCCATTCTGCTGGCTTCAAGAGATTCTAGCTGATGCTGCACTTCAGCCTGTGCAGCAGCTCCTTGGATTCGGCTCTCGATAGCAGCCTTGAACTTGGAGATGTCCACCCCCAGGTGCTCTTGGAGGAATTTTTCCCCTTCCATCAGTGGGGGAAAAACTTCCTTCTCCATAGCGTCGCAGAAGGTCTGGAGGGCTTCAGCAGCCTTTTTCTCGTACTCCTCAGCCTTCTGCTGCTTCTCTTCAGCTGCTGCCTGCTTCAGCTTAGCAAGCTTTAGCTCTTCCTCGGCTACCCTTTGATCGTGCTCGGCAGCGTCCACCCTATCTTGTAGGGAATCTATCAGCTCTACAGTGAGAGTCTGATTGTGCACGAACTGAAAACAGGGGCACAAGTTAAAAAAGTAAAAAATAATAGCTGAAAGGTTGAGTTCAGAAAGAAATCAAGGCAAGGAGAATTACCTGCATCATCAGCAGTTGGTTGGACCTGGCAGGGTCAGGAACTGATCTGCTGGATTCGCCCATCCCAGCAGTGGCCTTCAGCGACCAAATCCTTGCCCTATCTACTTCGGACAGGCCAGCAAAATCGCCGAAGTAGGCTGCAGGACCTTCTCGGTTCTGACCCCATATGAGGTCCCAGATGTGGTCTGGGACTGGAATTCGGGGGGCCGAGAAACCCATTTCTCCAGACTGCAGCGTCTGGAAGGAAGGGAAGGATGACGATGGAGCCTCTTTAGCTTTGGGTGGCTCAACGTCCTCCTCCTTCTCAGAAGAGTCAATTATTGTGACCTCTTCTTCTTCAGGTGTGAGGACGAAGGCCCCAACCTCTCTGGCAATGTCCGCCGTGAAACCCTCAGCACTGGGCATCACGGCGTCTCCATCCTTGTCCTCGGCGGCACTCTCTCGAGCTTCTTCCAGAACCTCTCCCTTAGGTTTGGGAGTTCTCTGATCCACCTCCATCTCGGGGGGTGGCGGAGAGGCCCTTGGGGGTGATTGAGGCGGTGGCCGGGGAACCCTCGGCGATCCATTGCCTTCCTCGGGTTCCCTTATTTCAACGCCGATGGTCATCGGCCTCCGCTGAAAGTCATGCGGGCCGATGATGGCCATTCTTCGGCGCCTCTTCTGAAGCGGCTGCTCGTCCATATCTGAGTCTGAAGACTCTTGTATTTGATCTTCGGGACGAACAGGAGCTTTGCCTTCTCTGTGTCTGTTACTCTCTTCAGACTGTAACAGACAGGGGGAAGAAGAGTGTGAGTAAAAAAAAAAAAAAGAAGAAAGACAAAGTTAAGTCTAAAGGCTCACCGAGGTCTTCAGCAAAGCCTCGTCTTCTTCAGCTGCCCTAGCCGCAGCTTCTTCAGCAACTCTGGAGGACCCTTCTCCACCTTCACAAGCTTCAATAACCCGTGCAACCTCTTCGGCTGTACGGGCAGCTTCAGCTTCTTCTTCCAGCAGCTGAAACAAGGGATCTCTCTTCTTCCACCAAGGCTTCTGCCTCTGATACAGAGCAACAGCCTCAATTTGGAAGTGGGAAGAGTCTAGGTGAACCTCTCGGCGCCTTGGTTCAGTGATAGGGGGAGCCCGATCAGTTACGACTCGTTCTCGGTTGACGCCAAGGCGAGCGTAATCAATGCCGACGTTGGTCTCGTCCCGTTCTGAAAAAGAAAAGGGGAGAAGTCAATTCAGTTAGTTCGGCACATCACAAGAAAGCAAAATGAAAGAAGAAAAGAGATAATTAAAAGGCCTCGGCCCCAGCCGAAGAAGATTACCATCCCTAAACTTTCGGCTGAGGCCGACAGCTGCCAGCATATTCTCTTGGAAAACATAGTGCGTATCGGGGAGCCAAGTCTCCGGGATATGCTGCATTCGGCCGCTGCCTCCCCGGTTCGGCAGCTTGCCGAAGATGTTCTGCTGATTAAGGTTCGGGTCTGGCCCGCTATCTTCGGGAGGACCTAAACTTCCCATATCAGGATCCGGCTCGGCAAGATACCGGGGAGCGCTGAAAACGTAAGGGTGGCTCGGCTCCGTGGGTGCCCTAACCCAAATCCATTGACCTCTCCAGTCCTTGTCTGAAGAGTCGTTCGGCCACATGGTTAGGAACGGGGGCCGAGACTCAATCCGATACCACCCAGAGCCATGGCATCCGTGCCCACTTTGAATGTTTGGCACTAGCCGATGGAGCCTTTTGAAGCAATGCAGGTTCGGCACGTACCTGAAGAATTTGCAGACCCATAAGTACGTCATTACCCTTCGGATGCTGGTGGGGGTCAGCTGGCACAGGGAAATGTTGTAATGGATCAGCAAGTCTCGGACGAAAACGTCCAAAGGGAACCTCAGCCCATACTGAAGCTGTCTCGTGTACACCCCCACATACCCCGGGGGTGGACGATGGATTCTATCGGATGCTGAGGGCATTCGGCACCAATATCCATCAGCTTCAAGGATGCCGTAATGCAACTCAATTTGCTCGGCAAACCGGTACTGATCAGCATTCTCCACCCACCATGAGTAGGGGCGGTTCTTTATCATGGCCGAAGCTACTTCGGCATCCTCCCACTCTGAAAACCCTGGGAGGATATCCCAAAGGACAGCGGGAACTTCATCATCCCGTCCTGAAGCGCTCACCCCCTCAGCCCTCTGAGGAGGAGCCGAAGAAATGGGAGTCGCCCTAACCCCTTCAGCAGGGTCAGACTCTGTCCTTCGTCCATTCCAGGTCCCAATCCTGTCCCTGGGATCGGGGATTAGCCTTGCTCTTCTTGGAGCACGGGCTCCACCTCTAACTCCCCTCACCATTGACGAATTTCGAAGGAAAAAGTCGAAAAAGGGGAAAGAGTGCAAAGTCGAAGAAAAATGAAATAAAATCAAAGGAATTTACCTTGATCTGAAGCAAAAGTCGCCGATTTACGAATTGGTAGTGACAAGTCTCAGCTTCTAAGCTTAATGCTCGGGGAATTTGCGAAGTTTTGATGCGGGCTCTTGAGCGTTCTTGAGAATTCTGGGTTTGTGTTGATGAATGAGTGGGGAGAGAAGACGCGCCTCTATTTATATCTCCAGAAATGGGAATTCAAGGAGTCTGCGTTTCAATTTCTCTCAAGCACCCCACTAAGTAACCGTTAAACACACGACCTTGCAGTTAAATCGCCCACTACCCGTCCAACTTCCGCAATTATCCACATTAACTGTTGTTATCTCATTAATCATGGGTTAATTACGGTTTAAATTCACATTTTTGGATTAACAAATCATTCACTTCCCTCCTTTTCTGATTAAATCAAACCCGACCCGTCATCCTTCCAAATCGGGTCTGGGGGGCAAGTTGTTTGGGTCCAATTTAGTCCAATTGGGCCTGGTCACTGAATGATCCAATTAAAAGCCCAAGGTTAAGGTTCAACTCTCCAAATGTGCTAAAGTCAAAAATCAACATCCTCAAAGCCATGTCAAGGTCAGTCAACGGCCCAATCAGCTTGGCCCAGCCCAACTGACTTCCGGGCCCAATCCGCCTCCTTCATTAGCCAAGGTATAAAAGCCAACAATTTGGTCAATTCTTGGTAAGACAATAAAGCCTCAAGCAACTAAACTCTTGCACAGCTTTCTCTCTCTAATATACTGACTTAAGCATCGGAGGGGCCTTCCTCGGCGTCCCCCCCGAGGCTAGTTTACGTGTATTTGTTGTGCAGGAAACCCTCGGCTCCTGCGTCGTTCGGACCGAGACCAAGTTCCCTCAAGATAAAAGGATCTTCCGAGATTCGATTGTTTTCATCCGAAACAACTTGTATACCGTGTTGTTTATATGTTGTTAACTAATGCAGACTCCAGCTTTGTACCCCCATTGATATATGCTTGCATGGGTAGTTCAAGAGATATCGCCATTGGACCGGTGGCTGTTGTTTCTCTATTACTAGGGACTCTGATTCAGAATGAAATCGATCCTACTAAAAATCCCGTGGAGTATAGAAGGCTTGCATTCACTGCAACATTTTTTGCAGGGATCACTCAAATGACCCTCGGATTCTTCAGGTCTGATATAACTCTTCTGTAATTTATTGATTTTATTTTTTACATATAACTAGTGTGTTGATAAGTATTAGGTGACTCGTACTTCGTAGCTTTGTCCGCCCGATCGGGCGGACATTGCCCGGTCTGACCGGGCGGTGGGGGTTGGATACGTTGAAGCATTCGTATGGAGTTTTCTTCTCGCGCCCGATCGGGCAGACCTTGCCCGGTCTAACCGGGCGGAGAAGGAAAAATGCGGAGACGCGGATTTTACGATTTAAAGTTATCTTTTATGTTATCTTTTTGCCCAAGTATCTTTTATTTTAGGGATTAATATAAAACCTCCCTAATATTAGTATAAGGGTTAAGAGAGAGAGAGTGAGAGCCGTTCTTGAGAAATACAAGAATCATCTTTGTAATCTTTGCAGTTTATAGTGAAATCATTCGATCTCGGTGCCCGTGGACGTAGCTATCACATCGATAGTGAACCACGTAAATTCTTGGTGTTGTTCTTATTGTTTGCATTGAATTTCTTTATTGTTTTCTTGTTTGTTTTCGACCTTTGCTTCCGCTGTCGCACAACAATTGGTATCAAGAGCTCAGGTTCAATCCTTGGAGAGTTTCTTGAAGATAACAATGGCAGGAGATTCAACAATAAGAATTGAGAAGTTTACCGGGAAAAATAGTTTCGGGCTATGGCAAATTAAGATGAAGGCTCTGTTAAAACAACAGCAGATATGGCGTCCGTTGGCTCCAAAGAGTACTACTTCGGAGTCAGAAGATGGACCGACTGACCCGCAGTTAGAAGTTATGGAAGAGAAGGCACACTCTACCATATTACTTAGTCTTGATGATCAAATCATCACGGAGGTGGCTGATCAGGAAACGGCGGCTGGATTGTGGCTGAAGCTGGAGTCATTGTATATGACTAAGTCGTTGACCAACAAATTATTACTGAAACAGCGGTTGTTTAGCCTCCGGATGCAGTCAGGTACTTCCTTACGGGAACATCTAGAAAAACTTAACTCTATTTTGCTTGATTTACGTAATTTAGATGTTAAAATTGATGATGAGGATGCTGCGTTGATTTTACTTGTATCTCTACCGTCTAGCTTTGAGAATTTTGTAGAGTCTTTTGTTGTTGGTAAGGATTCTATAACCTTAGAAGAAGTGAAGGCAGCACTTCATACTAGGGAACTCAGAATGAAAGCTACGAGTGATAATGGGGATAATGGTAGTGGGTTGTTTGTTAAGTCCGGAAAGTCTAAAAAGAATAAGGGGTTTAACAAGGGGAACAATGCTGGGTCGGGTGCTGGAAACGGCAAGGATGGATCTAGTAAAACTACTACTAAAACATGTTATTACTGTAAAGAACCGGGTCACTTTAGGAATAATTGTCCGGTGAGGAAAAACAAGTCCCAGGCTGCTGTAGTTGAAGAGAAACCGAATGAGAGCTATAATTCAGAGGAAGATTTAGCATTAGTCAGTTCTGCTAGGTCTGATGATTTATCTGATAACTGGGTTCTAGATTCGGGGTGTTCGTTCCATATGTGTCCACGTCGAGATTGGTTTGATACATATGAACCTCGCAATGGGGGTATGGTTATAGTCGGTAACAATGCTCCATGTAAGGTCACAGGTATTGGTTCCATGAGGTTGAGGACTGTTGATGGGCGGAGGTTAACTTTGACTAATGTACGGCATGTTCCTGCTTTAGGAAAGAATCTGATTTCATTGGGTACCCTGGATGACTTGGGGTACAATGGTGTGTTTTCAGATGGGGAGTTGTGTATTTTCAGAGGTTCTGAGTTGGTACTTAAGGGTATCAAAAGGAACACCCTCTATGTTTTTGAGGGTGTTACACTGCCTAGTTCTGCGGTTTGCGCATCTGTATCTCACCAGGAGATGACTAAGATTTGGCACATGAGGCTTGGTCATATGGGGGAGAAGGGGATGCAGCTATTGTCCAAGAGGGGTCTTCTATCCGGGGTCAAGGTTGCCAACCTTGAATTTTGTGAGCATTGTGTGTTTGGTAAGAAACACAGGTCAAAGTTCAGCAAGGGTGCTCACATTACTGATGCAGTGCTCGATTACATCCATTCAGATTGCTGGGGTCCATCTAGAGTTGAAGGTATGGGAGGTTACCACTATTTTGTGTCATTTGTTGATGACAAGTCCCGATACATATGGCTTAGGTTGCTTAAGTCAAAGGATGAGGCCTTCAAAGTTTTCAAGCAATGGAAAGCTTTGGTGGAAAATCGACAAGGAAGGAAGATCAAGAAGCTACGAACGGACAATGGGCTAGAGTTTTGCAAAGACGAGTTTAATCAGTTCTGTGCAGATGAGGGTATAGGTCGGCATCATACTGTCAGGAAGACACCACAGCAGAACGGTGTAGCAGAACGGGTTAATCAGACACTGCTAGAGAGAGTTCGATGCATGCTCTCTAATGCAGGGCTTGGGAGGAGGTACTGGAGTGAAGCTGTGTTAACAGCTTGTTATGTCATTAATAGGGGTCCTCATTCTGGAATTGATTCCAAAATTCCGTTTGAGATCTGGAGTGGTAAGTTGCCTAATTTTTCGAATTTGAAGATTTTTGGTTGTGTTGCTTATTATCATGTTATTGAGGGTAAGCTGGATCCACGAGCCAAGAAGGGGTGTTTTGTTGGGTACGGGGATGGTGTGAAGGGGTTTAGAATTTTTTCACCTTCGGAGGGTCGGGTCATTCTTAGTAGGGATGTTACTTTCGATGAAAACACCATGTATTCAATTAAAAATGCAGAGATTTCAGATTTGAGAAGGGAAGGAGACAATTTATTACAGACAGATGGGGTACTTGAGGTACATCAGTCTACCATTGCTGATTTACCTCGGGTACAATATATTGATGATGATGCTGATGTTCCAGTGCCGGGTACTCCTGAACCTGAGATTACTCCTACTCATTCTAACTCTGGGGATGAGGTGGAGCAATCTAATCAGGGGTCATCTAGTCAACCTGACACCATTCTTGAGATGCCTAAACGAGTTATCAAGAAGCCTGTTAGATTGATTGAAGAGATGGAGGGAAGAAATTGCTGTGTTGATGCGATGACAGGTTATGCATTGAGTGTAGCTGATGATGTAGAGTCATTTGAACCTGCCACATATAAACAAGCAATTAGTTGTAGTGAGTCTGCGCAATGGCTTGCCGCAATGGGTGAAGAGATGCAGTCTCTTTACAAGAACAGAGTGTGGGAACTGGTAAAGGTACCGGAAGGGAGGAAGCTTGTGGGTTGTAAATGGATTTACAAGAAGAAAGAAGGGTTGTCGGAAACTGAGCAAATACGTTTTAAGGCTAGGCTAGTTGCTAAGGGGTTCAGTCAGGTAGAAGGGGTTGATTTTGTTGAGATATTCTCACCTGTGGTTCGACATACTTCTATCCGTGTGTTATTGTCAATTGTAGCACATTTTGATCTTGAGCTGGAGCAGTTGGATGTTAAAACGGCTTTCCTTCATGGCGATTTGGAGGAGGAGATTCTGATGAAGCAGCCCGAAGGATTCGAAGTTCCTGGAAAGGAACACTATGCCTGCAGATTGCTAAAGTCATTGTATGGACTTAAGCAATCCCCCCGACAGTGGTACAAAAGGTTTGATTCTTTTATGGTTTCACAAGGTTTTGACAGGAATTCATATGATTGCTGTGTGTATCATAGTAAGCTGGATAATGGTTCCATGATTTATCTTTTGTTATATGTTGATGACATGTTGGTTGCCACAAAGAATAAATCTGATATTGCTAGATTAAAGGAGATGCTTAACTCGGAGTTTGACATGAAAGACTTGGGTGCAGCTAGGAAGATTTTGGGTATGGAGATCTACAGGGATCGGGCTAGAGGTAAGCTTTTCTTGACTCAGAAAAGCTACATTGAAAAGATTTTGTCTCGTTTTGGGATGGAAAAATCGAAGCCTATAAGTACGCCAACTACTGTTAGTTGTAAGTTGTCTTTGTCTATGTCACCTCAATCAGAGGAGGAGTTGTCTTATATGTCTAGAGTTCCATATGCAAACGCGGTTGGTTGTTTGATGTATGCTATGGTCTGTACTAGGCCGGATATTGCGCATGCTGTTAGTGTTGTAAGCAGGTTTATGGCTCGACCTGGGAGGGAACACTGGCAAGGGGTGAAAAGGATTTTTCGCTACCTGAGAGGGACAACTGATATTGGTCTTGTGTACGGGAATGGTAGGGAATGCTTGGTCACTGGGTACAGTGATTCTGATTATGCAGCTGATGTGGATACCAGGAGGTCTGTGACTGGTTATGTGTTCACTTTGGGTGGTTCTGTGGTTAGTTGGAAGTCTACATTGCAGTCATCAGTTACGTTGTCAACTACTGAAGCTGAGTATATGGCTTTAACTTCTGCAGCTAAGGAGTCTATTTGGCTCAAAGGCCTAGTAGGTGAACTGGGTATTGCACAGGATTTTGCTACAGTGTATTGTGATAGTCTAAGTGCGATTTGCTTAGCTAAAGATCAAGTACACCATGATCGGACGAAGCACATTGATGTCAGGTATCATTTCTTGCGTACTGACAAGAGGATTAAGGTGAAGAAGATTGGGACTGCTGACAACCCGGCTGATTTCTTCACTAAGCCTGTTCCGTTTAGCAAGTTTAAACATTGCTTAGACTTGCTAAATATTGATTACTACGTGATGTAGTAGGCCCTGAGGGGCGAAGTTGGGGAGCTCCTGGTGTAGGTGTGTTGGCCTTAAGGTGGAGCTTGCCCGGGGCTTGTGATGCAGGTGGAGCATTATGAGTTGTTATACTTGGAGACGAGTATGTGATGGGTCTTGGTTGAAGACTTATCGGGATGTATGGCTTATGCATGAGTCTTGCATCGGGTTTGGCTTGAGATGTTTTTCCACTATGTCTTGATGGGGTCGTTTGCTGACTACGAGTTCTCGTCAAGGTGGAGATTGTTGATAAGTATTAGGTGACTCGTACTTCGTAGCTTTGTCCGCCCGATCGGGCGGACATTGCCCGGTCTGACCGGGCGGTGGGGGTTGGATACGTTGAAGCATTCGTATGGAGTTTTCTTCTCGCGCCCGATCGGGCAGACCTTGCCCGGTCTGACCGGGCGGAGAAGGAAAAATGCGGAGACGCGGATTTTACGATTTAAAGTTATCTTTTATGTTATCTTTTTGCCCAAGTATCTTTTATTTTAGGGATTAATATAAAACCTCCCTAATATTAGTATAAGGGTTAAGAGAGAGAGAGTGAGAGCCGTTCTTGAGAAATACAAGAATCATCTTTGTAATCTTTGCAGTTTATAGTGAAATCATTCGATCTCGGTGCCCGTGGACGTAGCTATCACATCGATAGTGAACCACGTAAATTCTTGGTGTTGTTCTTATTGTTTGCATTGAATTTCTTTATTGTTTTCTTGTTTGTTTTCGACCTTTGCTTCCGCTGTCGCACAACATAGTGTAACATATAATTCACCTCTTTTTTTCATGTCATCAGATTAGGATTCTTAATCGACTTCCTATCCCACGCGGCTATTGTTGGTTTCATGGGTGGAGCTGCAATTACAATCGCGTTGCAACAGCTTAAAGGATTTCTTGGGATCAAGGGAAAGCACTTTACCAAGAAATCAGATATAATTTCAGTCTTAAAGTCAGTTTTCGGGTCCATCCATCACGGGGTAAACACGAAGTTATTCTTTTACATACTGCTGTACAAGTAGTGTAATTGACTAACTATTTCTATATTTCGCTACTTGTAGTGGAACTGGCAGACGATACTGATAGGATCAGTCTTTCTGGCCTTCCTTCTTTTCGCTAAGATGATCGTAAGAACTACACTTGATTCAATTCTAGTTGTTATCTTTCTCTATTTTGTAGTAAGATTTTGTTGACTTTGGATCAAATCTAATCTTCAGGGAAAGAAAAACAAGAAACTGTTTTGGGTACCAGCAATTGCTCCGTTGATCTCAGTCATTCTATCCACTTTTTTCGTGTTTATAACTCATGCAGAAAAGAAAGGAGTAGCAATTGTAAGCCACCTTTCGGATCTCTCTTATTTCTTGTGATCTACAGAAAAGAGCGGGAATTTTATTTTAAAAAACATTGATTTGATTAAATATTATTTCGGATGTAGGTGAATCATATAGAAAAAGGACTTAACCCATCATCGGTGCATCTATTATATTTATCTGGAGATAATCTTTTGAGAGGTTTCAAAATTGGCTCTGTGGCTGGTATGATAGCACTAACTGTAAGTCATCCTCCTTAATGCACTAGTCATTTATCATTTTCTCGTATTTACCGAGTTAAAATTGTCAACAATTACCTTAAATGTAGCTGTTTATGAAGGGAAAAAAAAAAAGCTATCATCATTTTCGCCTTTGATTGACAATTTGGTGAAAATTAGATGGTAAAATTAGGTTATATTAAGCTTTCAGATCACTTTGATCTAAGAAATGTTAAATTGGATTAAAAATATATTTACTTCGTATTTTTTAATTGTAAAATATATTTTTTTTCAAAATAAAGTGTTTCAGACAATGTCCCTTTTTTAATGTCTGTTGAAAGTATTCCATGTAATTTTTGTACAGGAAGCCACGGCAATAGGAAGAACATTTGCAGCTATGAAGGACTACCAACTAGATGGAAACAAAGAAATGGTTGCTTTAGGGGCGATGAATGTTGTCGGATCAATGACTTCCTGCTATGTTGCCACTGGTAATTACATGAATGCTTAGAAGTTGAAGCTAACAGAATTTATATGATCAGTTAAATGATTATATTTTTTTTTTTTTACTGATGTTATAAAATTTTGATGATAATGATCTGATATATGTGCTTATGTCTTGCAGGATCCTTTTCTCGATCTGCAGTGAATTACATGGCAGGCTGTCAAACTGCAGTCTCTAACATCGTTATGTCAGTCATCGTGTTCCTAACTCTGTTGTTTATAACACCTCTTTTTAAGTACACCCCAAATGCCATTCTTGCTTCCATCATCATATCTGCTGTCATCAACCTTATTGATTACGAGGCTGCTATTCTTATATGGAAGATTGATAAATTCGACTTTGTTGCATGTATGGGTGCCTTTTTTGGTGTCATATTTGCATCTGTTGAGATTGGTCTTTTGATCGCGGTATGAATACTTAAAGATTTTCTGCTTTTTTTTTTTACCCTGTTAGCTTCTGTTATGAGTTTTTTGTTAAATTAATTTTGCTTTTCATGGTATGAACATACAGGTAGTTATATCCTTTGCGAAAATCCTCTTGCAAGTTACTAGGCCAAGGACTGCACTCCTGGGCAATCTCCCAGGTACGACGATTTACAGAAATCTTCAGCAGTATCCTGAAGCAGCTGATGTTCCTGGTATATTGGTTATTAGAGTTGATTCGGCTATCTACTTCTCCAACTCAAATTACATTAAGGAGAGGTAATTTTTTAATTATATTTCTCTGTTTTTATATTTTTGTTTAGATATTTTCGCTTGATTCTTCCTTGCCAAAAATAACTTAAAAAATCAATACGTTTGATCAAAACTATACGTCGTGTTACCCTAATCCAAAAATCCTTAACAATTTCATTAGAATAACAGCTAAAGGAACAAGCAACAAGCGCATTAAAAAAAATAAAATAAAAAATGCTTCTTTACATCATCCTTTTTGAGCTTTACACATTAAGAGTATAAAATTATTTCTTTATGTTTTATATTCCTTTTTTTTTTATCTTTTATTGAAATAGACTAAACATCCTACGACATGCAATCGGAATAATATCTGAAGTAAGATTTCATAACATGAAAATATTCTACAGGAAGTGCTAAAAAGTGTTATTATCAAAATTTTCGAGTCTAATATCTTTGGTCTTGAATGAACTTCTGATACCATCTGTACAGAAGTTGAAATTTGAGGCAGAGTAGTCTGGTTTCTCAAAGATTTATGTCTGGTTTTTGTGGTGCAGGATATTGAGATGGTTAGTCGACGAGGAAGAGAAGAGGAAAAAGCTGTACAGGCCGAGGATCCAGTTTCTAATCGTAGAGATGTCACGTAAGTTATTTAGTATGTTGATTGATAGAAGACTGATAACTGCAAATGAAATTTTTACTACACCACCTTTATAATTTTTTTCTTTCATGGGTTGATGCAGCTGTCACCGACATTGATACCAGTGGCATCCATGCTTTAGAAGAGTTGCACAAAAGTCTAGAGAAAAGAAATGTTCAGGTAAACAAGGCTTGGTTAAATAAACCTACCAGATTCAATCTGTACTGGAAACTAGATGACCCAACTCAAACTGATAAGTAATGGGACTAAAACTGATACACTATTCTTTAGTAAACTAATCCGAGCAACCTTTGAATTGACCTAAACAAATGAGTTATCACTTAAGTACGAGCTGAGCTGAACTTGATCTGAATGACTCGTTTACTACCTCTACTTGTGACATATTGGTCTAGATATGTCTTAGAGGATATAACAAGTTATAAATGTAAATTTATACTAACAGAATTTGCTACTAAAAGTACACTGACATGCTTCTTTGTCATTCTGTTTATGCAGCTTGCTTTAGCAAATCCAGGACCAGTGGTAATCGAGAAGCTACATGCATCTGATTTTACATCCTTAATAGGGGAAGACAACATCTATCTAACAGTCGCGCATGCTGTTCATTCATGCTCTCCAAGAGTAATCGAGGTGGCTTGATTATATGAGAACCGGGATTTCTAAAAGTTGTATGGGGTTGATTCTGACTTGAATGTATGTATGAGTTTGTGTCAAAGGTGTCATTGTGTGTATGTTTAATCCGTATAGAGTGTTCGTAATAAACTGGGTAATTGTTGGATCACCATCCACCCTTATTTCGAGTTCTAAGCAGAGGAATTCAACAAGCGTGTTTGATTGCATCATATAAAACAACCCCTTAGCTTTTAGGGTAATGTTGTGTGTGTACAGGAATGTATATGATACAAGAAAATGTTTATCCATTTTCTAATGTAATGAGATGGTTAGCAATTTGTCAATTCATGTGATTTTATCTAGATTTGTTCTACGATTACTTTAGGTCTTTTACTACATGGACCATATACGCAATTTACTTATATATTTGGGAAAAAAAAAATCTCCGAATTTAAATTTTGCAATTATGATTTTATCTACTTTCTCGTAATATGGATGTGCAATTTTTGGGGTCGAGTTATTAGGGATAGGGTAACATAGTTATGGTAAATTTACATTAACGATTAAGTTAACATAAGAAGAACCATATGAATACATATTATAGAACAAGTCATAAGCAAGTTCCTTAGGAACCTGGGAGAGCTGAGAACCATTTAATTCATGATTTTATCTAGCTATTACATTATAAAATGCCCGATTATCATTCCAATTTAGTTTTTCTTCATCTTATGTACTACTAATTATTTTTCAGTACCATTTCTCCAATCTTTAATCAACTAAAGCTAGTTGATCATCCATATAAATAGAAGCTTTTTAAATCTCAATAAAAACATTTGCTTTCTTATTTTTCTATGCAAAATTGCAAACTAGCAATACGTCAATGTGGCATACCACTTGTTTGAAAAGAAAAAATGTGTACGTTGGAAGACTTTTAAGGGTCAACCAAAAAATTGCACCTTTGAACTTGCCCATAGGTAAATTTGATGTGACAATAATCAGTATAACATGATTTTCAATCTACAATCTATTCACTTGAGAGACTCTACTGATACAAGTACTAATTTTAACGGTCTTAAATTATCGAGTATAAACCTTCGAACGAGTGATACTAAATTTTACGCATAAATTTTTATCATTTCGTATAAACTATATTATTTCCGTTTCAAAATAATGGCAACAGTTTGACCATTATTATTTGCAATTATATATTACTACTTCGTAGTAAGTATAAAAAAAATTGATATAATGAAAATACACTTAAAGGTGAATCAAAAAATAATTTACATGACAACATCAAACTTTAATATATTGGTAAAAATTATAGTTAAGTATATGAATAGTGCAAGAGTCAAAGTGTTACAATTATTTTAAAAGAGGAAATATTATTTTTCAAAAATAAATTCCTAAATTGCGGCAATACAGCAACCTAGTAAAATTCTGAAGAGAAAAATTTAGATCTTCTCAGTCAAACTATATTCTGCACAAAAAAGTCTGACTTTATGGGCATAATTGAATTATGCAATAATGCAACCAAACTTGTTCAAATAGATATGACATTTAAAGCTAAAATTGTTAAGGAGCAATTTCATCTTATGATCTGGAAGTCAAGGAAATGGTGCTTGTATGATATCCAGCTGATATTAGATGAGTACATTTGAATATTTTGTAAATAATACTTACGAGAAATCCTCTACCAATATAATAGTTAAAGTCATGAATGACTCACACTGTAGATGGTATTATCATTTACCATGATACTATACTTTAAGACTGAGGGATAGCTCAAGTAGTAAGAGCTCCCCTCCATGGTCCAAGAGATCATGGGATCGATTCTCATCACTCACCGTTATGGTTCTCTTAAACACACACACACCAAAAAAAAAACAAAAAAAAAAAAAAAAAAAAAAAAAAAAAACATTTATCATGATACCAAAATTGTTGTTCCTTGAGCTGGGCTCACGAGCCAATTACAAAAAGGCCCCCATTTGATAAACAAGCTTGAAGTTAATCTTAATCTTTTTAAATTAATGAGTCAAGCTTGAATTAATTCATGTTTGACTCACTTATGTTCGTAAACTTGTTTGAGTTCGTCATAGGTTTGTTTATGTTTTATTACAAGTATTTAAAACTTGTTCGAACTTGAATAAATATGTAACGTTTTAAAAACTACTGAGGTTTATGGATTTGCAAACCTAAATGTCAAGATGGTGTAGTTCTTGCTCAAAAAGTACAAGGGATAATATGATTACTAGACTGCAGCAAACTAGAAAAATACTGAGAGAGAATACGGTCTTTGGTATTGACATGTACACTGCAGAAAGAAAGTCTGAATGATGTAACCTTTCAGTCGAAATCGCGGACCACAACCACCCCTCATCCCCACCAAACAAATTAAGGAAAAAATTGAAGGCTAAAAGAACTCTACCCTCTTTCAGCCCTCTCTTTGTCGGAGCACCTTTTCCAATCTTTAACTTAGCACATCACCACCAACCAATAGTCCAATATACCATGCCCTATGGTGGTAGTCAGTAGTGTCTCTTAACAAGGTTTACTACCTAGGGTGGCTATAGATAACTTTAAGGGCATAAACATGGAGAGAGCTATTTATTTACCGATGCAAAACTTACTGAAGATACTTGATAAGACTTCTTCAGATATGTCATCGCCACTAATCTGGCCTAGAGCCAATGCTGCTTCTCTCAAATCAATTGTCCAGAAATCCAGTGGCAGTTCTTCTTCCATTGATATTTTTAACCTCAATAAAGCCTCTTTGGTACGTACCAACTGCTCACATTGTCGCTGTTAACAAAGCAACATTCTCAGTACGATCATCAAACCAAGTGCCAATTGATTTAACATGTAAATGTAAAACAAAAGCAACTAACATAGCAATATTGAAAAAAACATATAGTAGCAGCCAACACAGCAATATTACACCAGAAACACAGGTGTATAACAAGCATGACTGATACCAAGATTGAGCTTGTGGTAACCAGTGGAGTCGGGCAGGCAGGAAAAAACCTGACCAGTCCATTAACCAATCGAGCTGGGAGACAGACTGCCCCAAGTGGGACACTTTATTGTCAGTTGAATTAAATAGCCAAATAAGTTGGTCCAAAAGGTCTGCCAGGCACAATTTCAAAAGATCAACTAAATACAGACAACCCATAGTTCCATGCCTAGATTGAGTCCATGCCAGTTAATACCAATATTGTACTAGATCATTCCAGGCAAATATGTATCTTCATTTTCGAAATTTGGTAAGGTCACTGGATCTGAATTTGCAAGGCACATAAGAAAGAAGACTAGAATGCATAGGATATAATAAAATAGGTTTCCTGGGTTTGGATTTCAAATTTAGTGAAGGGCTCTGAACATTAACTAGAATAATCAATCTAAAGAATTAGATATCACCTGTTTAATTGTTTTTCACAAAAATATAGCCTTAAGTTTCAATAACAAGGAAAAGGCTGACCTTTAAATTAATATCACAAGCACATATATTGCAAGCTATTAAACTACGTGTCAAATCAGTCACCAGAAGTTTTCAGGCCATCATTATTATTACAAGGCGGAAAATTGGTCAGAGAAAGGCTTTATGGGTTTGAAAGCCAAAGCAGACTTGATGAAGGAAAGTTCTACTTCTACATACTGGTTTCATTGATGCAGAACATTAACGGAGCCAAGGCAGTTAACCCTATATAATGTTGAAAGAATGACCAAAGGGCTAGCAAACCACCAGCACTATTATCAACTTCTTAATAGCATTTATCAACCATCATGGCTATTGGATGTAGCAATATCGCTGGGCAGTGAGACACAAAAGTTTTCTGTGTATGTTGTGTATGTAGTTGCTGTCAGTAACACAATCTTTAAAGTGTATATTTATATAAGATCTAAGTTCAAGTATTCCAAATCTATAGCAAATTGCTAATCCTTGATTTCATATGGATCTTTTTGGGCTGAGAGAGGTGGTACATTCATTCAGGACATATTTCAAGCTTTTACAGATGCTGTCTTGTAGTAAATACAAAAGGTAGTGAAAAAGAAAACCGAAGCCAAAGGAGACTCTCATATGGGACTTTTTGGGCAGATAGAGGTGGTAAATTCATTGATATATTTCAAGTTTTTACAGATAATGTCTTGTAGTAAATACGAAAGGGAGTGAAAAAGAGAACCTTTCCGAATGAATCCTTACTTTGAAGATGTTGAAATTACACACTAACAACATACAGCATTATAATCATATTTTCCTTGTTCCCCCTTCCATCTTGGCTACCTTCTATGAGATAGGAAGGAGGTGGGAAACCAAAGGTAAAAAACAATGCAGAGTTGATATAATACGATAAACTACATTTGAAGGTAGCTAACCTGGTTTACAGTCCATCTTCGCCCCCCAGAAGTAATGCTGTTGAGACCCACAACCTCTGATACTGCCCTCTCCAGATCTTCCAGTCCTTCACCAGTGACAGCACATGTAGATATACACCTAGCAAAATGATCATCATCGACACTGAAGCTTTCAGCACATGCAGCTGGAAGACAATCTATCTTGTTGATGACAAGGATTATTGGAGTAAAAGATCTCATATCCTGTGTATTTGGACAAAAAAGGAAAAGCAACATCACCTCACAACCAAGTATGGATCAGTAACAAGTGCAGAAAATAACAAAGCATCATGGTTAGCTACAGCTTGCAAAATAAGCTGGAAGACATTTTGTGATTTACCACATTGGTGTATTAAATAGTTTAGAGAGAGACCTTAGCAGATTGAAATCTACTCAGAAGCTTGTTATCATCCATTGTCCAACCATCAGCAGCACTAATTGTCATTATAATGACATCAGCACCCAAGGCAGCAACTTCAGATCTTTCTACCCCTGCAACCAAAAATGTCAAAACAAGTTAAGGCAGCCAAATAATTTCAACCATTTAGACGGCAGAATCCTTACTCTATAATTTAGGACGCTAATCAAATAGAATTTAATTCAGTTTAAGGTGGCTAAGTTTTTTTTTTTTCATCACTTGTCAATGGCTGATCTACAGTGTTATAAATGTAACAAACAGTACTAGCTCAAGCACTCAGCATTCTGCAAAACTTATGTCCTCAATCCATAAATGAACAAGGAAATAAGGCTTACAACCTGCAGACTGCAGTGCCAAAGCTGTTACCAGCACTGCAGTCTTCTTATTCTTGTAACATGTTCCTACACATTTTTTCTTCTCTATCTGACAAGTAGGTAAATGGATCAAAAAATATGCAAATAAACTTCAAGTTGACTACAATCAACATAAAGCAATATAAGAACTTTCATAATATCCATCTATACACTGTTAAGCTAAGGCTTTATTGTCATAAAATATAATAGATCACTTACCAATTTTTTCCACAATATCTTCAGTTTCCCGAATTCCGGCAGTATCAAGAAGGGTAACAGGGATACCTTGAACTGTAATACTGGCTTCAACAACATCCCGAGTTGTCCCAGCAATTTCAGTGACTATAGCTCTCTCACTCTGCATGCTAACAAGGAATTAAGCCATGAGATTCCAATCACTTTAGCATGAAACATACCAGATTAACCACATCAAAAGTGGAAATGAAAAAAAAAAAAAAAAAAAAAAAAAAAAAAAAAAAAAAAAAAAAAAAAAAAAAAACTCTCATACAGTGGTACTCAAAATCCCCCCTCCCCTCAACAAACAAAAAAAAACCCCACCAAAGGACACAAAGTATTCATGTCTGGTTACATATCCCTCAGCTAAAACTTGAGTTACAAAATTGCCAACTCATACAGCATAAAAACTACAAATGCACAGCAAGCATACAAATTGCAGCCTTGACATTACTTTTATCGGAACCTTGTTGGGAGGTTAACTTTGCTTTCTAGACCCAAGGTGAATAAAGGATTACGAGATCATACAGCTTATCAATGTCAAATTTATAGAAACACGTCTCATGAGTCATAACAATCAACAACGACACCAACATCACACTCCTTAACATCACACTCCTTGTAAAGACCTCTAACATCTTACAATAATAAATCATGATAACATAGCTTTTTTCAAAATTTCATTATTGATTCAAGATGACAGGTAATATTCCCTCTGTGGCTGGATTTGTGGAACAGCTAAAGCTCAAACAAGTGCAAGTTGTTAAGGTTCGTATATGTAAAACACAAATCAATCAGGAAAATATTTTAAATTTTACTCAATGAATTTAATTCAGAACATAGAGTGATGGAGATGCTTATTAATGTAATTTTATGTTCTTTAATGGTCTTTTGAAACTCTCATATAGAGCTTCTTTATAGCTATTTTGAAGATCAAATTTGAAAATTCAAGCATATTGCACATAAAAAATTTGAAATATGATCTACATATTGGGAAAGCAGCTTATAGATCCAAACAAGCCATCAAAAAGCTCATAAAATTTAAACTAATCTTGTTCATGTCATTTATGGGTGAAGAAATTAAGTCATCCATACACTACTCATTGTCTCTTTTGGGAAAGTTACCTGACGAAGATCCTTGTGTATAGTGCCTAGAGGCTAGTGGTAAATTTAAGCATATAATATATTATGAAATAGCTACTACATTAAATAAGCTAAGTCTACTAGTTTTAACCCCAAATAAAGAAGCAAGAATTATCATGAATGTGGAGACATAATTCATTAAATGGGCAAAGAATCTGTTTTGTGTACCTTGCTCCAAGCATTCAGAAGGCTTGATTTTCCAACGTTAGGCCGGCCGACAATTGCAATCTGCAAACAGTTGCTATAATTACATCAACGGCAGAAAAGGGAAAATAGTTGATAAAGTAATGTAAGCCTGTAGCTATAACCAGAAGTTCAGAACTAAATCATACTTTCAATACCTATATTGAGAAAAACCAATGCCTTTTATGTATTTGGCCAAAACAGGACTCATATTTGTGAAGTAATTAACCATCAACTACTGAAATTAGATAAATAATATCGATGGTGATGGTCTAAGCAAGGCGAGGCAATAAAAAATGTACAGCAGAGAAACTAAAACTTTTCCAGTATAAACATTAGAAAACAAAATCATTAACAGAGAAACCCAAGCTTAAGGAATTACTCCATATCAAGTTACTGGCAAGTGGAGTTTTGTAAAATATTGAACAGAGAAAAGAAAACTCCTTTATTGCAAAGTTGCAATTAAGTGACAAATATTTTGCTTCATAGGTTACAGTGAAGATAACAATCCTGATCATTCATCATAAAATTTCAATAAGATTTTGACATAAAATATACTACTAGTCTTTTCAGAAGAAGAAAACAATCAAGACATGAAGTATTTTACACAGATTGTGAAGAATTGAAACTTTTGATGAAAAGCAAATTTAACCTGCAGTCCTGATTGTAGAAGCTTGTCATAGTTGGCAGTTTCCAGTGCCTTTTGTACATCCTCTACCATAGCATGTATTTTATTTTTAGTTGATAACAAGTCCAATGGAGGCATTTCATCCTCAAAATCAAGACGCGCCTCAATTTCACAAAGTAATTCTATGCATTGTCTTCGGATTGATTTGACAAGATGTGAGAAACCCCCCTGACAAAGCCATCAAAATAGTTTGTAATAATATTCAGAAAGTAAAAATACTCATAATAGAAGTGTATTCTAATTCTTAAACCATACCTGGATTCCAGCAAGTGCTGCATCAGCAGCGCCCACGGAATTTGCTGTTATAAGCTTCCCCACATTTTCTGCTTGGGTGAGATCTAAGCGACCATTCAGAAAAGCACGAAGAGTAAACTCACCTGACAAAGAGAACAAAGAATTTTTCATGGACAGCATATTGAAAACAGATGTCCCTGAAACTGTAAGGAGCTCATTTAAAAGAGGAGCAATCATTATTTTTCCTCAGTCCCTAAATAAAAAATCCCATTTCTCCCAAAATTTCCATTTTAAATAGAATCCTCATTTTTCATTTGGGTGGGATCATCATCAATTAAAATCAACAATGCTCCTTTTAACTCCACTTTATATTCTTCCATCTCTACTTAAAACAATAAACTATTCCCACCATCTTCATTTTTGTTTAAGTTAAATTAACAATACCCCGCTACAATTCCTCTCCTAAGTCCAGGAGAAATGGGGCTTTTATTAAGGGACGGGGAGAGTAATAATGCTTTTGTGGAACTTTGGGTAGTAGACCTAAAATTCATGAATCCAGATGCACAAGATACTTAAAGCCCCATAACCTTTTTATCATAAATAAGAGATTCGTGTATTGTGAAATAAAATCACAGACCAGCATATTGGGTTTTTTCCCCCCTAGATTCAAACACCTTCCTCAAAAGAGGTCTAGCAAATCGAGTATCTCTCATCTCAACCTTTACAAATAAACAAGTGAGATAATGAACAAATAAAGCAATTCTTTTTTTCTGAACAACATCCCACCTCCTGCAGATAAGCTAATCTCATCAAGTCATCTCGATATTATCATAAAAGCTTCCCCTGAAGACAACCCCACTCAGCACCTAGGGACAATGGAGATGAAAATCATAAAAGCTCCCCCCTCAAGACAACCCCACTCAGCAATGTTTCAGACATTTGATTATAGTATATCTAACTTGTGTCATGTGAGCAAAACATAGTTTGGTTTCAGATTGTTACTCTCGTAATGTTCAACAATTGGCTCCCAAGCATGTCATCACTGTCATCAGCTAATCACTGACTTATGAACTAATTGATAATTAGATTACAGATAGTAACCAAAAAAAAAAGGAAATGTGGCAGAATAACAAATTTACTTTTATACTGACAAAGTTCACACCTGGTTCAGCAAGTCTTGCACCTGCATCTAAACAAGCTCTCAGCACACGACGAAGACATACTTCACTACCATGGCACTGGAGCTCAATCACATCCTCACGAGTGTATGATCTTGGAGCCAGCATAGGAACCGCTAAAACCTAACAAAAAGCCATTCCTATCTTAAGATAGCCTGTTTACATACAGCAGATAACTGAGCATGCTTGAAGCACTCGATATGTTATATAGGCTTAAAATACTCCCTTCGTTCCACAAAGAACTATGAACTTTACTATATTCCTATTTTGGCAGAGAATATATACAATAATTTACTCCTAATTAGCACAATCTCTCTTCTCTTTAAAATATGCAGTAGTAGAGAAATTTTGTGCACCCAGAGTTTACATTATTTTCTCCTCTTGGATAAATTGTGTGTTTACCGTAAGTGGATACTTCTTAAAATAGAACAAAGAGAGTAGCTAAGAACACAATGAAACTACATTAGGAGATGATGAGAATAAAAGAAATGGCAAAAGAAGGAAAAATTACTTGGATGTAAAACTCGGGACCAATTTGACACGGAAAAAAAAAAAATCTTTATTCTCTCCTTATCTCTTAGATAGATTATGGCATATCTAATTTTAAGATACTAGGAAAGATGACATCTATTTTCTGACTTCCTAAAACAATAGACATGACAATTATTTACGAACAGAGGGAATATAATTTTCGATGAGTATGTTACTAATTTGAATTGCGTTCAATCATATTTTCACAAAATAATTCACATCAAACATTCCAACCAAAAGTGATTACAAAAAACTAAATACGCTAATAGAGAGGTTCAGAGCATAAATATTATAGACAACCTTATGCTAGCCAAACAAAGAGGATATCCCCAATAAATCCTCAAAAATGATATAAGAAAGTCAAAGTTTAGCTTATGCCGATAAAATTACCACTAAATTATATTCGGAGTTAATCGGCACCTATATGGCAACATTGGTAGGACTACCGTCCACGAAAGCTGAATCTTCTAACTAGCAGCGCCAGCTTTGTAGTTTGTACACTGTATTAAAAACTAAATTGCCAAATTCCAATAATACTATAGCAATATCAAATCCTTATTTCTAAAAGGATAGGGTCGGTTGCATGAAACAATTAATTATCTCTCATAATCATCCACTAAGATCCCCTTCCTTCAATTACTTCAATCTAGGGCTACAAGCTTTAGCAAACCCTTTAATAAAAAAATAAATAAATAAATAAAAATAAAAAAAAATAAAAAAATTAAACCCCTTCATCCAAGTTATCTTTGGTATCCCACGACTTATAAAATTCATAATGTCACCTCCCCACTTTCCTAAAAAAAGCATTTTTGTTGTCACACATACCCAAACAGACGTAAGTGAGTTCTTCCATGTCTTATCGTCATTATCTAGCAACTCCAACTTTCCTACAAAAATATCCTTAGACTAAATTCTATCCCTCAAAGTGTTCCAACACATCCATCACAGCATTATTTTAAAACATTTCCCACAACACAACCTACACCCATCTTTTTAACACGATCCTTCTTAAATGTCCAATGTAATGACCCATATAGTAATGCTAGTCTTATAGTCGTCTGATAAAATTTCTTCATTAGGCACATTGTGGTCGCACAACACATGGTCTCCATTTTCAGCCATAAAAACTGGACTTGACTAGGTCTCCATTTCATACATTGAGACTAGCCATAATCTTGTAAGTTATATCTTGGTCAATACCTCTGTTTCTCTATAAATTCAAACCAAGATACTTGAAAGATCCACTAAGAGGTAATGTACAGGATAGTGCCGACACCGTTACGGTTTAGTCATTAAATGCATTACGCTGTTAGTCATCCACTATTAACTATATCGGCTTAATCCCCATAACGGCCTTAGTCTTGGCCACGTGGAGAGCTGCTTCCGACCACGTAGACACCTGCTGCCTACAAAGTCAACTTCCCACCTATGTCGATAGGTGGCACCAGCTTGGTTGTCTTTCCATAAATACCCAAGCACATTTCATTATTAAGGTACAATCTTTTTCTCTCTCTAACTCTCTCTCTCTCTCTCTAAAACACTCTTTCACCTTCTTTCTTATTCCTTTCATCATATTGTCACTTTAGCATCGGAGCGGTTATCCCCGGGTACAAGTTAGCTAATTTGTGCTGATTGTGAGGTGCTTAATTGGACGGTAAACCTTTACGGATTCCGAGACTCAATGTACCGGAGCTCACCTGGAACAAGTAATACTCCACGAATCCTGACATTTGTTTCCACTTCCCGGTACAAATAATGGCTTATCCTTCCCATAAATTTCAAATGAAATGTAGTAACTAATTCCTATTCCATCAAATTGAATTAGAAATTAAGCAGCATATCTATGCTAGCATTGGTAAGCCTACAAAAGCTAATATACCTTAACTAGTAGCATTGTATGTTGAATAAAAACCGAACTACTAAATTCCGATAACTATGTTAATCCATTACACTTACTAGTAAAACAAATGAAAAGTAGCAAATTCCACAAATTTTCCATAGTTTTCCTTCAAATTACTTTTGCAATACATTCTCACATTATTGATTATAAAGCTTAATAAAGTATAAAAACCACTCAATTACCTCATCAATAACATTGCCAAGATGATCCACAACCACACCATATTCAACAACATGGCTTTTAGGCTGCCACAAACAACTACCCTCTTCTTCCTTCTTCTTTCTCTCCTTCATTCGCCGAAACACCTTTCGAACAATCTCCACCGAAGACGGCCCCGATAACCTAACAATACCCACAGCAGCAGGAGGACCACCCATGGAAGTAACAATGGCAGCAATTGTACTCGAAACTGCCACATGGGTTTTCTCAAAAGACCCAGAAATCCGTTCATCATGCTTCAAAATCAGCAAATTCCCTGCAAAAATTACAAGAAACTGAGGTCGGAATCAAAACAAATGGAGTAAAAATCAATCAAATAAGGAGATTCAAATCAAAGAGGTACCATTTGAAGAGGGGAAAGATTGAGAATTGAGAGCTTGAGTAGGGTTTAAGGAGGGTTTAGAGCAAATGGGTCTGCAAAGAAGAGGAAGTGAAGAAGAGGGTTTGGGAAGAAGCCAAGTACGATGGATGATGTTGAGTAGAGAACGAAGGGATGAGGGAAGATGTGCCATTTTTCGTGTTTTCTTTGGTGTAGCGGGAAACAATTGTACATGTACTAGAATATGTGTTTTTATATGTGATGTTAATCATGTTAGGTTAAAGTCGAGTATACTGCGTTTTGTGTGTGGCTGGCCATATCGTATGATCATTTATAAAAATTAAAAAAAAAAATAATCCTTATAACACTAATCAAGTAATCCTATAATACTGATCGGTTAACCCCTAATACATTAACAAAATAACCCCTTTAACACTAGCTAAATAACCCCTATTACACTAACGAAGTAATCCTTATAATAGATGGTCATACGGTGTGGTCAGCCACATACTTCCTCTGTTTCTTTTTAGTTGTTATGATTCTTTAATCACGTTTGCCAATGCGCAATTCAATCACTAATATCTTTAATTACCGATAAGCAAAAATTATAAAAAAATATAAAAAAAAAATGATATTTTGAAAATATAACTTGTAACAAATCTAACAAAATCTCACTTGACTATATTTTTCTTCATATGTAAATCACAAAATATGGCCAAAGGGAGATGTGTAAACAATGCTAAAGTCAAAACGTGTCAACTAATAAAAAACGGATGTAGTATAAGACTGTATGTATATGCATTAGTGTATGTCCATTATATCTTTAGGATTATTCAAGAATATTCTAAACTAGGTTAAACCTCGCACAATGCACGAATGTTGAATAGTTATAATAATTATATATTTTCAAAAAAAAAATAAATCGATTGATAAGTATTAAACCGCGTGAAATATATATACTTTGTACTCCCTCCGTTTTTAAATACTTGCTCCATTTCTATTTTTTGCACTATTCATCTATACTACTTTGACTAATATTTGTGATTTATACATAAGAAAAAATATAGTCGTGTGGGTACTTGTTGGAATCATCTCAATGAATAGATTATTAATTTTCAATTGTTAGAAGTTATACCTATTGATAATTAAAGATATTAGTGATCAAAGATTAGCATGGACATGCGTGTCCAAGATAAATTGAGGAAGTATTTAAAAACAGATGGAGTATTAAATTAATAAAAACATGAGAGAGAAAATATTTAAATATGGAATAGTTATAGTGTGCAGGTTGATATTTTAGGAAGTTTACCTTAGATTTTATATTAAAAAATAATAAGTCATAATCTAAATGCAATCTTAATTAAATATATTTTTTTTAGAAAGTCATTTTGGCGGGAAATCTTTTAATAATACATTGTCAAGTGTCCATTTAGATTCGCTTAGTAGTATTATGTAATTGATTGATTGATTGAATTGATTTTATTATTCCCCAAGCAAACCCTAATTGTATCACATATATAAATATATGTATACTCCCACATATTATTCAATAAGAATATCGATCTATTCTTATTAGAGGGCCGCCGAAACTTCTAAATTTCCTATGGAGTGCGGTTAAGGGCAATCTTGCTGTCAAAGAAAGGCTTGTTCACCGTCATATTACTAGAGACGCAACTTGTCAAATATGCGGTCACCAAAATGAAAATATTTGGCATGCTTTGGTTGAATGTGACGCCGCGGCTGCTATATGGGAGGGAAGTCAGCTACGCTCGACCCTTGATGATGCTCCAAATCAAAATTTCGCTGAAGTTTGGGCGTGGTTATACAGAAAATGCAATGCAGAGGTTCTGAGTACTATGGCTGCTTTGTTTTGGGCTGCTTGGAGGTGTCGAAACCTTATTATTTTTGAGAGTGAAAGGCCAAATGCGATAATGCTTGCGACTGGTTTTTGTAGGATGGTGCATGACTATCAAACATATGCTGGGAATGTGTTCCATCGTGTAGCTACGGTGATGGCGCCTAGCAGCAGATCAAGTTGGAGCTGTCCTCCAATTAATGTTCTTAAAATCAATGTCGATGCTCATGTTCCGAACAATGGGATGGCTGGTTTGGGGGTGGTCTGTAGGAATGCCGAGGGAGTGATTATGGCACAGCTACCAAGAAGGTCTGCTTATCTTCGCCAGAGATAGTGGAAGCTATATGGCTATCAGATATGCATTGCAGCTAGCTCTCAGATTGGGGTATGGAAGAGTAATGCTAGAGTCTGACGCCATCAATGTGATTAAAGTTGTGACTTCAAGAGAAAGTGGTCTTTCACCTATTTACTCCATCTTTGAGGATATTAGTTTTGATAGAGCTAAGTCTGATTTTTGTACTTTTTCGCATATTAAACGGTCTTGTAATACGGTGGCTCATCTTGTAGCAAGAGGGGACACGGGTGATAATGTGGAAATTGTACGTTTGTGCTCCTTTCCACAAAGCTTATAAACTTTGGCGGAAATAGACTTGGCTTAATTAAATGAATAAAACTCTATCTTTTCTTTTCAAAAAAAAAAAAAAAAAATGTAATATCGATCTATTCTCTTCCCTACTTTCTCTTCTTTCTCTTTAATTTTATAACACGTTATCAACACCAAATTAAAGTTCTATGTATCAACTATAATTATGTAATTAGGTACGCTTTTACATATGTACATACAGGTTGATTTAATAGATTAATTTTAGAGATTAGATTAAATTGTTAAAGTGAAATTAATCTTATCAAATAGTACCAAAAGCTTCGGAGGGAGTCCCGGTTAATCAAAATGATAAACCAAAAATGTTAATCAAATGGCACTTTTGTAATTATTTAGCCTTGAAAATCGTGTAATGAAATTTAAAATAATATATTTACTATAAATGACACATAATCTGACGATTTGTGTTTAACGTCCGTTACCCACGATCACTTGTTCATCTTCCTCATCCTTTCTTCTTCCCACCCAATTCTTGTTCTTCATCTTCTTCCTCCCTCCCAATTCCATCATCTGCTTCCTCTAACATCATTTTTTCATCACCAACACTACAAACAACATCTTGCACAAACCATTTTTGGCGGCTTCGCCGCCAAATTAAACGAAAAAACTAAGAAAACTAGGAGAAATTAGAGGTAAGGTTAACCCCAAAGGGTAGGTGTTTCACTTCTCCATCGTTTTCGCCATTGGAGGTGAGCTTTTCCTTCTTCTCCATTGAAGCTTTAAAGGAGACATAGATGATACCAGGCCACCATGATTACCAACAGCACTATTCACTACTATCCGACCCTATACTTGGTTTAATTACTTGCTAAATCAAAGTCTAATCTAGTTACAGAAGCTCAAAAATTTTAAATCTGGGTATTTTTGATGAAAAGATAATGTATTTTCTCTCTCTTCCTCTAGCTGATTTCAATGAAGCAAATGGTGTGTAGATTTCCGTTTTTTTTTTTTGTTTTTTTTTTTTTTTGGTTTAAAAGAAAAAAAAAGGTTTTCAAAAAAAAAGATTTCCGTTTTTTGAATTTACAAGTATACCCCTGACTGCTCGGTTGAAAGTACTATGCTACCCCTAGATAAACATATCTTGTTTATCATAGTGATAAACTTGAATTTTCACAAAAGGTTCTACGTACATATTTATTTGATACAATAAAGAATTTTATTTTTAATGAATTACATGTTCTCAAATTCAAATATGTATTATCCTATATGGGCATGTGTTTGGTTTCAAAAAAAAATATGTGCATGTGTTATCTTATGGAGTCATGATAAATCATGATTTTATTGAATCCAACTTTTTATTGATTGATTGTATGCGCTTTATTTTCTTTTCTTTGATTTATTGTGATTTGCTACAATGACCATAATTGTTCAGGTGGTTTGTGTCTGTGATCAGTTTAAATGCTTTGAAACAATTAAGGATTTCGATTTTTTTTTCAAAATTAATCAATAGGTATTAATTAATTTGATTGCATCCTTTAATATCGTTTTATGTGATTGTGCTTCTTGGAGCAGTTTAAGATAATCTGCCTTAGAGTTTGTTAACATTGTTAAACGCGCGCCTGGGCCGCACCCGCAAACTAAGAGAGAGAGTTCACTTCACAAGATCGGAGGTTCCATCCCAAAACCATATGGCAATAGGAGGAGTAGCCCCTTTAGCCTTATAAAGTGTTTAACTCTCTCTTCTTCAACTAATGTGAGACACTTACATGTGGTGAGTAAGCTTTTGGTTGAGTTGGACCTCTAACATAGTATCATCAGAGTCAGCGTGACACAAAGGTCACGGGTTCGAATCTCATCATCCCTCCTTCAAAGTGGAATTAATTCGCACTATGTATGGGTAGGCTTGTGTTGCTTCCACATTTTAAGTCCAAAGGGTCTTTCATGTGAGGGGGATTGATAGAGTATAAAACATATTTCTGGGCCTCAACCATCAGCTTAATCTTTTGGTTGAGTTGGTCCTCTAACAAACATCATGGTCACTTTTGATTTGGCGATAACTATTGATGAATTTTGGAAATTAAACATGTGTGAGTGCCTTCCTGGGTGCCTATCTACTTGAATACGTGAAGTGTGTTGCGTATTTATCAATAACTAACACTTCGTACTAAAGTAATTACCGACATTATAACTATTCATGTGACAACTTCTTATTCCCTCTAAAACTATTATTGACATAGTGTTGTAAATTTGCTTATAATATAATATTAAACATTGTTTAGTTTTTCTCTAAATGTCAAGTGGTTATATACCCTCCCATTGTTGTCTTTACGTTTTGGAAAACTTCTATCATGTATATGGAGTACAACTCTCCAAATAATTTTGATCTATGTGTGATAAACCTTGAAACTTTATATTCTAATTTTATTTTAAGTAGTGATAGCTATATCACTTTGTGATTTGTCTATTATGTAGTCTTTTATAAATCTTAGGATGTGAACTACAATAGTATGATGCCTAATACAATAAGATAAAGTATACCTTATGTTACCCCAATCCGCTGTTAAGGTGATTGTTTGCTTATCGAATATCGATGCTTATTTGGATTACAATATATTATCACATTGATAATTTAAATGTTTATTTGATGATTATCATTATCTCAACATTGGTTTATTAACATTGGATTATCATTAATATTACTTATCAATTAATAAGTTTTTATACAATTTTTAGGCTAATAGATTAAGGTAGATACACCTACATTTTTTTTTTGCATTAAGTTTCGTTTGTAATTATAATTAGCTACTAGTATTATAATTATTATGATTTTCTACTTATTATACTACGTATTATGGTAGTGTATATAGTATGTACTCTGCTATAACTATCATGAAATAACATGATACTTTTGAGTAACTATTACCCACTACCAGGTAGGGACAAGGAAGGTCCATACCAAAGTTGAAAAAAAAAATTCCCCAAGTGTTGGAAAAACATCATTTCCTATTTTAATACTATTATTTTAAGTTTGAGCTTGTTAAAATAAAATTTAATACT